GACCCACACAGACAGACAGACAGACAGACACAAATGCAGACACACACAGACAAATATACACACAAAGCCTGAACAATACAACACTGTTACCTCTCAGATTCATTAAATGAAACTGGAACTTCGGACAATTAGTTAGCTGGACAACTAACGGCCACCACTGTTAAAGGCTTCTGCCGTATCTCGTTTACATCTAGGATGGTGTCTCCTTCAAAGTGGAAAAAACGGAGTGTGAAAGCTGAGAAGTGGGGTATGTGGGGGAGGGGGGGGGGTGAGAGCACAGGGGGGCTGGCGCTCTCTGCTTGATGATTATCAGGGGTGGGGAGCGTCAAGGGAGTGGGGGTGGAGGGCAGTAAGGGCAGGGTAAGTGACTGGCAGGGAAACTAGGCTTTGCAGAATCCTACACTTTAGGTCATGTAAGCACACACACACACTCACACACACACTCACACACACACTCACACACACACACACACACACACTCACACACACACTCACACACTCACACACACTCACACACACACTCACTCACACACACACACTCACACACACACACTCACTCACACACACACACTCACACACGCTGGCAGGACTGTCTCCGTGACAACCCAAGCAAGCGTCCTCCCCGCACGAGTCACCAAGGGCTGAGTGAGGGCGGGTGGGATTGCTGACCTCCACGATGGAGTCCACTTCATCCTTCCCGTACCACTCTGGCTCGTACATCTCCACCAGGCAGTCCTGTAAGCGCTTGGATGACTCGTGCATTGCTGTAGGGAGGGGGGAGGGGGGGTTGCAGGAAAAAACAGGCCTCATTGGGGACACTGTACAGGGACTGCGAGGTAACACAAAATCACCCAGAGGGTCACTCTGGGAAGACAGACACACGGTCGCGGACAAACGGACGTTACGGATGGCCGACCTTTGACCGCAGTCAGGTAGGCCCTGAGGTCCTTCTGCAGTTTGGTGCCCTCAGTCTGAAGATAGAGCATCACAGGGAGATGATCACAAGCAGCACATGGAAAGGGGTGGTTTATACCAGCGTTTGGGGTCCTCGGGGTCCCCCAGACAGCCCACTGGGAGCTGGGATGGAGCAAAAAACGTGGACCGTCTGGGAAACACCGACTTATATGATGCAGAGGAGAGGGACATAAAAGGGAAAATCGGGTAGGAAGGGGAATCCTTTAGGATACAGGACAAGGGAAAACGGAGGTCAGTTAGGGGTCTGTTCAGGGAAGTGGAGCTGTTGAAAAGATCAGCAGCTAAGTCAAGTTTAGCCAGACTTCATTTTTTTTGGTATCAGGGCTATAGTCCTGAGTGATGGGGCCTAACGACGCCCCTGGGCCTGTTAAAGGGGAAATGAATGGGCGGGTAGGGAGTCACGTGGGGACAGGAGACACGCTCACCAGCTGCTTGTGAAAGTTCAGCACTCCCTCTTCGAATAAGATGTCCTTAGTCTCATCAGCTTTGCCCAGCTTCTGCAGGACCTGGGGGGAGGAGACGGGACATCTATGAAAATCCCTCAAAACAGCTGCTCATCTACGATATCGGCTTGACAGTTAGCCACATGTACTCTTAGCAGTTCTGTTCCGGGTAATGAAGTCGGCAGGTAGGGACAAGGTGAGAACCTGTACAGCTTTTCCCAAAACCGTGGAGCACAGGTTGGACCAACCTGCAAGACCTGCTTGCTTCCATGCATCACACCAGATCAGCACTTTCCCTCCTACTCATTCAATCTAAACGAAAACAAACTCCATCCTATAATAGGGGTACCATGAGGTGTGGTCCGCCTGGGGTAGGGGTATCTTGGGTGGGGTGCTGTCGTGGGGGCCGCCATGCCTCTCTCTCTGGCCCGCTCGCGGTGCACGGTGAGCCCGACCTGCCTTGGTTGGCTAAACAATAACCTTCCCCCAATCAATCTTCCTATAGCTCCTACGTATCTCTCCTCTCTTCCATCTCTACCTCCAAATATTTCATTTTTATCTTCCCCATCAAACACAGACACACACATGCTCACGCACAACACTTGTGAATGAGCTGTGTACAGGCCGCTTGGACCTTGTTCTTCTACAGCCATTTTCATCCATCTTACATTTTCAGTTTGTTTTGTGTGTTATGCTGCTGTTCCCTGCTGCACTGGGAAATCAATTCAAATCTATTTGTATATAGCGCCTTTCATAAGACAGTCATCGCAAGTCGCTGGACATGACTGTGTGCCAATCCATTAGTGTTTTGTTCACTTTGCACCCCGTCAAACAAACTCACAGTTTCTCCTCAGCATTTAACAAATACATTTCAATTAGTTTGATCAGTTCTTTACTTGTTCACTGAAAGGGAAGTAGTCAGATTGGGGGGGGGGGGGGGTGGGTGTTATTTTGCTCTGGCCAGTTGTGGCAGGATTTCCTCTGCAAGCACATCCCAGAAGGTCCTGAGCAGATAAACCTGCCACACCACACCGGACAGGCAGAGGCGGAACAGCCCGGTGTCACACTGAGCGTGGCATGCAAACTCATCACCGGGCCGAGGAATCATCATACAAACAGAATACTGGTGAAACAGAATCGAAACTGAAGAATGGGGTGGGGGCAGGTGGTGGGGTGGGGGGTACTGTACCCTCTGTAAGACGGTGGGAAATCAGAGCTTCTAAATACTGCACAGCAAAATGTGCAGTTTCCTAAATAATTTACAAAAGCATTGTGACTGATATCAGATATTTAGCCAGCATTTAGCATGGTGTCACACACACTTCCCTGCTAGGGTCTGGTTTCACCTTCCCAGTTTATACGTCTGTGTGCCATGGATTTCACTTCTTTTTTTCTCCCACAATGAAAGATCCAGTTCCTGTATACAGGCCCTGCCACGGAGGGAGCGGTAGATTCGTCTCAGTAACGGATCATTTGTAATGTCAGAGAAACCCCACACACACACAGCTTATGTTTCCTGTTATTTACTACAGATGTCATTTTAAATACTGTCAAAGGATACATATTCCTTTTCAGATGAGACTTCAAAAGCTGATCTGCAGCTATCAGAAACCTCCGGAAGCTCCTCAGTCCTTTTTACTCGAAGAGCCTGGACACTCACAAAGTTATAAATCACAGCAGGTAATTCTTCCCGAACCTGTGGAGTCTGTGCCTTGTGTGATAACCACGACAGGACGTGAGCGGCACTGAATCGCAACACAATGACCCCCCTGTGCTCCTCCAGATGTGGCCCCTGATGCCTGCGATGGCACGCGGCAGCCCCCTGAACACCTGGTCAACTGACGTGAGTGCGTGATGTTACACTTAACCGTTTACTGACACTTTTAGCTAATGGAAACTCCCAGTGATCAGGACTCAGGGACCTACAATAGCTGGTTAAATTACATCAAAAACCTCTAATCCAATCATCTGGAGACTAAGGCTGTTTTCACACCTGTGCTTTTTCGCCTGGTCAAATCAAACTCTGGTTAGCTTTCCGTTTTGGTGCGATTCATTAGGGCAGGTGTGAACACAGTAATCGCAGTGGATGGTTCTTCAGGAAGGATCATCCTTCAAACAAAATACAGAGTGAAAATGCCCTAATAGCTGAACTGCTTGAAAACAGGAAGTCAGTCCACTAGTCTGTTCAGAGGCCTTATTGCTGCCCCTTGTTGCCTTCACTGGGGTACAGAGGTCTATCCTTCCCTCACTGGTGTTTTGTTTCAGGCCAGTGGCGAAAATAGCCTCAAAGCTGCTTCTGCCACCAGGCATACTGGAATCCAGGCAGGATGAGCGAGAGCCACACACTGTGCACTATTCATAGGAACCATCAGGTCTACATGGAGACACCAGGGATGGGGTGGGGGAGGGGGATGGCCGCGGCAAAGGTAAGACCCTTAGCAGAAAGTGGGAAAATTCAAATCAGACCTTCAAGTAGATGATGTATGAAGCACTTAGCAAGCTGTCCAAGTGTCAGGTTTTCTGTAGCAGCTTCCACTCCAGAAGACACTGTGCCCTTTCATGAAAAGGCAGCATTCATCTCAGGAAGTTACAGAAACCATATGACTTCTTGTGTTGTCAATGCAAAGCCTGTGGATTATCTCAGATTTGTTAGCTAGAAAGAAGCTGTATATATCTAATGTTGTGTTAACCTCGTGAGATCACTTTAAGATCGACCAACTTGGTTCGTCCTCAAGAACCATCCAGACCAAGACCTTCTGAGTCATTATAACTGTTCATCTACTGCACTGACCCCTGAAGTCTCAACTCGAACTTGAGAATAAAATTTACCACAAAACGACGACTCCAAAGAACATTTCCATCACAGTTTGAGTGACATGAGTGACTGGTGACCAAAACCAACATGCCAGATTCAGAATTATGGTGGAAGTCTAAGCCTGAAAAAGGAAGTCAGTTTGAAGTTAGCAGGAACAACTAAAATAAGAGTGTTTAAGTTGTGATTTGAGTCTCGATTTCCACTGGTCACTTTATTTTAAAGCAGAGCTCAGCACTTCCTCAAAAACAAGCTCCTTATTTCATCAGCTGATCCGTCATTTCACATCCTTCCAATCCTTGTTTATTTGTTACGCCCCAAACCTTTTACTTTAGAAAAGGCCGATACACAAAAAAACAACATTAAAATCGTAACGACCAAACAGGAACAACTAGGCATTTCTGGTGGGTGGCCTAAAACAGGCCAAAATTTGTGACCACGGCAACAGAGGCGATAGGAGGAAGGTAATGAACTAACAGGAAACGAGTAGATGGAAGCAGATGAAGGAAGTGGTTCACAGAATGGGTACAAGTGGGCAACAGGAATTTCATGCAACTTGAAAAAGGCTTCTCTTTCCGAGTCACATAGCAGAGCATGTGTGGCAAAATGGCTCTGAAAACAGGAGTAACAGCTTGTGGGGGGGCTGGCAAAGGCATGCCCCCATAGCTTTTCCCACATCGGCTGTCAAGTATCATTTGTCCCATTCCTTAATCCAGTCCCGTCCCACGACGTGTGGGAATCCCCACCTCTCCAGAATCTATGTTCAGTTCTGCCCCCGTGAACGTGGAAAAGAACATGCGTGTGTTGGGGGTAGGGAATCCCTGCTCATACCCTGCCATAGAAACCCCTGGACATGGAGGACATGCTACTGACTGAGCCAGAACCGAAATCACGACTTAAACGAGCAAACGCCTATTTCCCAAAACGTCTAACGCGGCAGCTGCCTCTATGCCTGACTGCCCGCTTAGCGCAATGCAGAAAAAGGCTGAATATGCGAAAGAATCGACATTATCAGAAAGCACGCAGCTGGGAGACTTCCAGTGGTCCTAAGGTGAGACCCCCGCCGCGCCGGGGGGGGGGCGGGACAAGCAGGCAGCCCGTATCTGGCCAGCAGCGCACTTTAAATTATACCAATGCGCGCAAGGGAGATTTAACGTCGCAGAGATGGTTTCTGAAAAATACTCACCGTAATGAACAATAACCACAACAATAATAACAATTACAACAATAATAAAAATTAATATTATTAATAATAGTAATAATAATCCAAAAAAAAGGCGACATGAACTGAAGTCCACTGACGCCGGTTTATTGCTGAGTATAACACATCGTTATCAAACATCAGCTGCGCTTCATTACAGCACACGAAATGTCTCAATAACGTAATACGATTGACGACCAGACAGAAACCCAGTTGCAAACGCGATCGTACGGTTGCATTTACTATTTTTAGACGCCACTCTCTCTGCCGTGGTATAATGCAGCCATCCGAAAGCGTCACTGGCAGCTAATTCGGGGGCCGACGGCAAGCGTCCGGCGCTGACATTGAGGCGGATCGCGGAGCCCCGGCTCCATCATCGGTCGAAGCGATCAGGGTCTTACCTTTTCCTGCGCTCGGTTTATTTTCTTCTGCACGTTACTTGCCAGCTTTCCGGCAGTAACCCCCTTGCCTATCTCAGCCATCTTGTTTCCTTTAAAAACGCGTGTATTAGACAATCTGATGAGTCAGAAAATGTGTATACGTTAAGGAGGAAGAGGTGAGAAGGGGGTTGAAAGCGTATAGAGAAAAAAAAACGAGTGTAAGGAGAGGGGACGGGAGCTCCCCCATGCTGGACAAGCCCTCTTAAAGGAGCCGCGCGGCTTTCTAAGCGCAGCCGAGCGCTCGCGGCTCGTCTGCAGGAAACGCGTGTATATGCAAACTGAAATTATTTATCTAAAATTTAATTTTGGAAAAATAATTCTTACAGCGACTTATCTGCGAAACAACTGTGGATAGATATATTCCCACTTATTATTTTGAATTACCGGTTATATCGAACATCAATATTTCTCCGTAAATGTAGAATTTGACTGATGTAAAGGAAATTAACCATTGTAAATACCCAGAACCATAACTGATGTTTTCAGATGTCAACGGAAAATTCCATAAGGAAGCCATCTTTGAATTTAACCATTAATTTGTATCGGCCACCAATCTGGAATTATTTAATATTGTGTTACGTTAAATCCTACGTGAATTGTTTTTTGGACGTGTTACGATGTCACACAGGTTTGTGCATTATTCCCGTTCAGCCCCAATCTCATATAGCATCGTGCCCGTCTGTGGACCGTCTGTCTGTTTCAGATACAGTTATGGCAGTCAGAAGCTGTTTTAATTTCACCGTGTGTCTTTCTGAATAGCATCGTCATTTTTGTTCCCTGTTCCTGCTGACGCACACGTGTAAATACATAGAAGAGTGGACCACCGAATGTGCTGTTAAGGTTCCCAGTGTCATTGTGTTTCAAAGGGAAGAGTGATTTTCAATCACTTCCCAAGGGTTCTGCTCAGTACTGCTCCTTCCTAATAATAACAAGTGTGAGCTCCATCTGGTGTGTCTGTGTGCGCGCGCGCGTGTGTGGTGTGTTTGCGTGGGTATGTATATTACATTGTGGGGACCAAATAAAAACCTGTTATTTTGACTTTGTGGGGACATTTTTCTGCCCCCGCCCCCCCACAAGGGAAAACTCAGCTTTATATAAATTTGTATCTGCAATTAAAAAACTGAAAAAGTCTTGTATTTCGTTTGGTTACTTCTGATTAAGGTTAAAGCTGAATAGGGGTTAAAGTTGTCATTGCTGGGATTAGGGTTATGCCCATAGAAATAAATGGTAAATCCCCAAAATGATACAGATACCTAATCTCTCTCTCTCTCTTTCTCTCCCTGTGTGTGTGTGTGTGTGTGTGTGTGTGTGTGTGTGTACTGTAAGGATTGGTCCCTGACCCCATTTGTCCAGCAGGTGTCGCTGGCCATCCAGTTTGGTGTTAGCTCCTTCTGTTTCTGCTGTTCCCTAGGTTGCTACATAGCTTAGTGGGCTGAGTGGGTGGCCATATCATCCAGGCTTCCCTTTCTGTTATGAGTTTGAGTTATGAGTTAACATTTACGTTACTTTGTATTTTAAGTTCCATCTGTCAGATCAGAGTAATTACCAAGGGATATTTAGGACTTACCCAGTCGGGTATCATTGGATTCTGTAGAGTCTCTGGAATAAAGCTTCAGTGAATATTTCTTTCTATGATATTCTGTTTGCAAGATATAAGCAATTTTGTCTGAGAAGCCCTATTTCACAACTGGCCTATGCTGACATTTTGCCCACAATGAAGCTGCTTGGGGACTACAAACATGGTGCCATTTACCCTCCTGTCTTTGTTTGACACCCTTGTGGTCCCTTTTGTTCTTTTTTTCTTTTGTTTTCTTGTTTTCTTATACTTCAAATAAAACCCCTTTCTTTTGTGAGCCGCAACGTGGATTGTCTGCCTTTTACTATGCTTGTCCGTAACAGTATACACTCACTTTATTAGGTACACCTGTTCCACTGCTCTTTGAAGCAAGTATCTAATCTTCCAATCATTTGTTAACAGCACAATGTGTAAATGAGGATTTTAAAAATATGCTGAACTGCTGGGATTTTCACACACAACCTACTCTATGGTTTACAGAGAATGGGCCAAAAAAAGATCCAATGAGTGGTGATCCTCTGAGGCAAAAAATGGCTTGTTAATGGCAGAGGTCAGAGAAGAATGGCCAGACTGGTTCAAGCTGATGGAAAGGCAACAGTAACTCAAATAACCACTCTTAACAACCAAGGTATGCAAAAGACCATCTCTGAATGCACAACATGCTGAACTTTGAAGCAGTCATTCCTGTAGGAGCAGAAGACCACATCGGGTGACCCTGTTAGCTAAGGACAGGAAACTGAGGCTACAGTGGGCACAGCCTCAAGAAAATTGCGATATTCAGATGGTAGGGTCAGAATTTGACATAAACAACATGGATCCACCCTGCCTGGTATGTATTACGACGAACTCGTGGACGATTACGTTGCCCACATAGCATAGAATTAATAACAGTTGTTCACTGTCCTCCTGTTACTGTAATATTCTGAGCAGTTGTGATTGTTCAACTCCACCTAGCAGACATACGTATGAGGTGATTGAGGTGTGGATCGATTCTGATCGTGTATGGACTAATCATCCTGAAATTCAGATACGTCGTCCATGATTCACCCATAATATTATTGTGCAAAGGTTGAACTGCACAAACATGTTTTTTACTGATTACTTGTATAACTTGTTTTTCACTAATAACTTATTTCTTATAAAATGGGTCAGGATGCTTCTCTAGTCCTAAAAATTCTTGTCCTGGGATACTTTATTCTGTTAAGCCTGGGATGTTTATCTTGTTATTTCTGATTTACGGGATGCTCACTCTGTTCAGGGATGCTTACTTTGATTTTCTAAGGGGTTTTTCCTGAAAAGGAGAACAGGTGGCTCAATATGGTTCAGTATGTGGGACTCTTATCTCGTCTTCAGGAAGACGGGGAGGATCGGCATATGGGACGCTTATCTCGTCTTTAGGAAGGCGGGGAGGATCAGCATATGGGACGCTTATCTCGTCTTTAGGAGGGCGGGGAGGCATTGACCAAGGACTTTTGTCTTATTTCTTGATTGAAACCATACCTAGCAATCAGGGTGTGGGATGCTTACCTCATCCTATGGAAGAGGGGATTAATTATGGGAATTTATCTTATTATTTTTGATCAAAACCAGCATTTCCTGGACAAAATTGGAAATTTGAGAACACATTGCGTGAGGGGAGGGCTGAGCCTGGCCAGCTTGTTCCCTGCCTGCACGCTGCGCTAAAATTAGTATAAAGGAAGGGGGAGATCCCATCGCCCGGCATTTATTGCGTCTCACGTGTTGGTCTCCTGCCAGGACTGAAACGGGCCCCCCAGTCTAAGAGTGAAGGTGGGTGATGATGGCACATCCAAGTGTGAATAGCTTGCAGCATTATTATTGATTATTACTGGGATTACTTTTCACAATTTATGATATGCATAATACTTTGTATTCTTTTTAGACTAACTATTGTTCATAATTCATATGCAATGGTTTGCACTTGTATATATATACATATAATATCCTCACATCATTTTAACACGCTGGTGTCAACAATTCATTCTGGTGGTGGGGGTGTAATGGTGTGGGGGACATTTTCTTGGCATACTTTGGTCCCTTAGTACTAACTGAGCATTATTTAAATGCCACAGCCTACCTGAGTATTGTTGCTGACCATGTTCATCCCTTAATGACCATCGTATACCCAGCTTCTAATGGCTACTTCCAGCAGGAAAACGTGCCAAGTCACAAAGATTATATCATCTCAGATTGGTTTCTTGAACATGTCAATGTGTTCAGTGTACTGAAATGGCCTCCACTCTCATTAGATCTCAATCCGGTAGAACACCTATGGGATGTGGTGGAATGGGAGATTCACATCATGAAGGTGCAGCTGACCAACCTGCAGCAACTTTGTGATGCTATCGTGTCAACGTGGACCAAAGTCATTGAGGATTGTTATAACAAGACAAATAATTAAGGCAGCTCTGAAGGCAAAAGGGGGTTTAACCTGGTACTAGCAAGGTGTACTTAATAAAGCGGTCATTTGGTATGTGTGTGTGTGTGTGTGCGTGTGAAACAATACAGTGTGTGTATATATATATATATATATACACACACACACACACACACACACACACACATATACAGTGGAAACAGAAAGTGTTCAGACCCCTTGTCATTTGTCAATTTTTATGTCACAACCTTATGCTAAAATTGCTTGAATTCATTTTTTATGTCATCAGTCTACATTCAGTATTCCAGAAGCAGAATTTTAGAAATGTCTCCAAATTTATTACAAATAAAAGAAACGAAACAACACAATGAATTAAGTATTTGCACCTTTTACACACTTATTTGAAGCATCGTTAGTAGCGATTACAGCCTTGAGTCTTCTTGGATAAGACGCGACGAGCTTTGAGCACCTGGATTTGGAGATTTTCTGCCATTATCTGCAGATCCTGTCATGCTCTGTCATTTTGGACGGGGACTGTCAGTGGACAGCTAGTTTTGGGTCACTTCAAAGGGGACTGATTGGGTTCAAGTCTGGACTTGGCTGGACAACACTAGGACATCTGCAGAGTAGTCATTAAGCCACTCCTGCATTGTCTTTGCTGTGTCATTGTCCTGTTGGACATGAGCATTCTGGAGCAGGTTTTCATGAAGAATATCTCTGTACTTTGCTCTGTTCAGCTTTCCTTTGACCCTGACTTGTCTCCCAGTCACTGAAGAACACCCTTATAGCATGATGCTGTCACCACCATACATCACCACTGGGGTGGGGATGGTACTGCACAGGTGATGAGTGGTGCCTGACTTCCTTCACACATGACACTTTGAACTGAGGCCAAACATTTCAATCTTGGTTTCATCAGACCACAACATCTTGTCCCTCAGAGTCTAAGAGTCCTATAGGTAGCTTCAAGCTTTCATCTGATGTTTACAGATCAGTGGCATGTTGCAGTGATAGCTGACCCTCGCGAAGTTTCTTCAAACATGATCTTTGGGGTTCAGCCTGAGTGACCATGCGGATCTTGGTCATCTTTCTTGACAAGGTCTTTCTTCCCCAATTGCTCAGTTTGGCTGGACAGACAGCCCTTGGAAGGGTCTTGGTTGTTCCAAACTTCTTCTATTTAAGAATTATGGAGTCCACTGTGCTCTTTGGACACTTCAATGCTGCAAAAAAATTGTAGTCTTCCTCAGATGTGTGCCTCAACACACTCTTGTATCTATAAGCTCTGCAGGGAGTTGCTTCAACCAAATGGCTTGGTTTTTGCTCTGATATACATTGTCAACTGTAGGACCATTTTTAAGACACTTTTTCAATTATATTCATTATGTCTTTAAAGTAATTATAACAATGCTCTTTTTTCTGTTTTATCAGACATCTAATTTTTTAGGTTTTATTCACCTGACATGTTTCGACGTTCGCTGTCGTCTTCCTCAGAGTGAACATCAGCTGATAACTAATGAGCTACCAATAACATCCGGTGACACTCTGAGGAAGGCGACAGCGAACGTCGAAACATGTCAGGTGAATAAAACCTAAAAAATTAGATGTCTGATAAAACAGAAAAAAGAGCATTGTCATTTTTAAGACAGTTGTGTGCCTTTCCAAATCATGTCCGATCAATTAAATTAATCATAGTAGGAATCCAAACATTTCAGGAATGAGCATTAGAAATGGGATGCACCAGAGTTCAAGCATTAGGGGCTCCGAATTACAACTGTCATGATTACTCCGTTAAACACGATTAATCGATTATTTTTTCCTTCTCGATTACTCACAATTTGGCCGAAGGAAGACGTCCATTGCTTATGAGGGTCTAAATAATTCCATTCACATTAAAAGTGAATGAAAATACAGTCATCCGTAAATATTGCAAAGCAGAATTTAATATCGCCACAGAACGACTGCAATGCAAGTATATCTTAAAATAATCCATTTGGAAAAATAAATTATGCGAGGTTAACCATAGATATGTGCCATTTAGCCACGCGGAGTAGCCTAGTCTGTCTTTGTCATCACGTTGACTTAAATTATTTTACATAATTTACTTCCTACGATTCCTGTATGTCAAAATAATTGCTGGTAAAACGAAGGTCAGCCTCGTCGCTTAGCCGCATCAACTTACATAATACAGGGTTGCCAACTTTGATCAGCTTTGAGACAAGTCTGCACACACATTTATTTGTATGTAAGCGTTTTATTACCTTGTTAATATTCTGTATGGTTTTCAAAATACCTCAACGGTTTTGTGTAGCTAATTTTAGGTTTATACTGGAACAATATAGATTTGTAGTAAGGTTTGATGTGTAAGTATGAGCCAGATACCTATGAGTTGGCAACCTTGTGCCCTTGCAAAAGCACCGGCGGTAAACATTAGACTGACTTTATTTATTTATGTATTTATTGTTACATATACTAGATAATTTTGAAAAGGAACCTTCATTAAAGTTAAATAAAGCTTACTAAGTTTCGTTTTCCAGTTGCATGTGCATGAAATACCATGTTGAAACTAACATTACACATTGTGCAAGCTTGTCACCGCGGTCTGCATGTTCACCGCGGATCCTCCGGTTTCCTTTCACTGTCCAAAAACATGCAACAAAAATGCAGTGCTGTGCTTAAACTGACTCTATGTGTCACTGAGTGTGCAGCGGTTGGGTGATTTCTGCGTCGTGTTAATTATATTATATTATATTATATTATATTATATTATATTATATTATATTATATTATATTAATGATTACTCGATCAATCGTCAGATTAATCGGTAGATTATTTGAATTTTTTATATAATTCACAGTGATAGCCCTTGTCCGAATACTATAGTGTGATATTTTAAAGTTTTTAGTTTTCATGAGTCTTGCTGTTGTGTGTCGTCTAAACCTTGCACAGACTTGTAATATAATAATTAGTGATTCGTAGTACGGCAACCCCGTACTGTATTGTGTCTGTATTGTTTCTCTTTTGTTGTTGATTTATTAATTACGATGTGTGCATTGTATTATGGTTCTAAATGCAAAGTTAAAAATGAAATATATAAAAAATCTTCTGCATATCGCCCATCCCTAGATGGCAGTCACGTCACAGATTCACAGCGGCACTCCTTACCTTCTTTTCGTCTCGCAGGTCCTGACCCAGTTTTCTTCGTCATTATGTACTTCAAAGTGGTTTCAAAGTAAAATTTATTGTGACATTATGGTAACTTATATTTATGGTGAATACACCCTTTTTTCAGGACTCATTACAAGACGTGGCCTAAATGTGGATGCAGGAGTGTGTAGACCGATGGGTGGATGAACTAATTTGGTTCTGTAACTTAGTCATTACATCCTAAGAGGATCTGGTTACTAGATGATATTTTATAGCTTTTATAGAAGTG